TTGACGCGGATCCGCGTCTGCCTTCGTGTCTAGACGCGGACTTTGACGCGGATGCAGCTTTTGAAATGCTTCCATTTCGCGAAGCGCTCCGTGCCTTTGCTTCGCTTCGCTGTTTTGTGCCTTAACTTTTCTCCTTTTTCGCGTCCGACTTCGTGCCACGCACGGGGATAGACGAGCTCCCACTCCTTTAATTTCTTCTTTTTGTGTCGAATTGTTATTTTCTGATCATTTATCATCCAAACTCGTTCCTACACATAAGAAACACATAATGAGTATATTTCACTTCGAAAATCATGTAATCTCCCACGACACACACAAGAATTAATATGCAAATATACTCAAAAATATGCACTTTTCATCATTTATCAGATCACGTAGAGGTCGACCCTCTGCGATGACTCACGAGACCGGGGCAACGGAAAAGCTCCAGTAGATAGGAGAGTTCTGATCTGAGCTTGCATGCCAAGGAATTGAGCATCTCTAACCCTTTCTCTTTCCTGGCCGCTTCTAGCTCGGACGTGAGCTTTGTCACTGTCTCCCGCATAGTGGAGAGGCTCTCCCCATTAAGTTGCTCTCCTTGCGAGGAAGTCCCTATTTCTTGCATTCCACACTTATAGCGATGGAATTTTTTTGTAGGAAGCCCGTATACCTTCTCCCATTTTGGAGCGCCAACAGACTCCAACCATATTCTTTCAGCATCCTCGTCCGAAGGTTGGGTTGGCTCGCCCGGTTCACCAGTTGGATGACTACGAATGAATTTCTCCATGTTACTTTGGTTGACTTGTGAAGATCCTAATTAGTATAAATAGTTTATCATCAAATATATCTATTTATAAATTGATTCATCGACTTATAACTTACTTAGATGCATCGATGAATATTAAAAATAAAACGTTTAACCTATATCTATCTATCTATATAGATAGATAGATATAGATAGATAGATAAATTACATAGATAGATAAATTATAACACACGCTTCGTTGTACTACTTTAACTACATATATAGCATGTTATAGTATATGTTAGTGTATTTATTATTTGTATTACAAAAGTGTTAACGTGTTACATTTATATTATTTAGATAGTAAATATAAAAGTGATTCAAATTTTTTACCAATGTTGACCTAATAACCGACCAACTTTGGTCGGTTATTTTCCAGAAAATAAAATATACCGACCAAATTTGGTCGGTAATTTTAAATATAAATTCTTTAAATTTTATAAAACATTTTAAATAATAATATAATTATTAAAATTTAAAAAATTGGGTCCACATTACCGACCAAAGTTGGTCGGTAATCCAAAAGTTTCTTTGACTAAGCAAGTCTGACCAGCTCGGTCAACTTGTTGACCACTTTACTGATCAACTTTGGTCGGTATTTATTTTTAAAAAAATATAAAATATTTTTTTCCCAGTTTCCGTCCAAGCTGGAAGGTTTTTGGTCGCTTTTTTTGACCAACCAACGTGGTTAGAAAATTTTGGTCGGTTTTTAGCGGATTTGTGGTAGTGAAAAAGTAAACTCGTGACAAACATGAAAAAGACTATACATAGAGGAAAAAAAAAGAATTAATGAGAAAATAAATATATTGTTTAACTTAATGAGAAAAAAAACTTTATCATAATAATTCACTCAATCCTACCTCTTCTAAATTAAAAAATTTAATACACTTTAAAATCTTTTACGAATAATTACAATATATATATATAATATATATATATATATATATATATATATATATATAATATATATATATATATATTATTATGTAATATTCAGTAGTATTTTGAAAGAATTACAAGAAAATACACATGACTTCACACCATAACAAAAAATGGCCCATGTTTTTAAGTTTTACCCCACCTAGCCCACATTTTACATATTTTGAAAGCACTTGTAAATTCAAAATATATGTTTTTACAACAATTGCTTCTAAAAGCTATGGAGTTAATTCTTTGTTCTCACAACTATTGCTTTCACTCTCTCTTCTTCTCACATCTTTTACATATGCTTCAAAGGACCGTATATTTTCTGCTTCTCCTCTTGTGTCACCTGCTTGCAATGAAAGAAAATTGAAGAGTAGAAGTCCACCATTGAAGATCATTCAAAGCTTTGCTTTTGAAAATGGGTTGTTTTGAATTTGTTAGTTGTTTGGATTGGGTATTGTTCCAATTGATTGAAAATATCAAAAGGAGTACAAAATTTAAATTTGAAGTGATTTGGAGTAGATTTGAGCAAGATTTGAATTAAATTTCAGAAAAGACGCAAGAAAGAAGACGAAGTCAGTTTTTTATATAATTATGTATAATTTTGTATAATATTGTATATGAGTGTAGAAACACACCTTATACACTGTTATACACTTTTATACACCTTTATACAAGCGTCTGTAGACGAACTTCTTCCACGATTTTCAGTTGCAATTCTTATTCAAAACCAGTCCAAATCTCCATTAAATGACTTCAAATTTTATATTCAACCTCCTTATACTATTTCTAACAAGTCTAAATAACACCCACTCCAAATTTTTCATAAAATCAAATTCGAAATTTAAACCCACATATTTAAGCTTGTTAAAAATCTAATTTTCACCACCCAAATGAAGTTGGTTTGTTGAAATAATATTTGAGTCACAATTACTGATTCGAAAAGTAATTTAAAAGCTTGAGGAATCTTTTTTAAAAATTAAATAGTAATTTTGAGAACCTATTGGAGTTGGATGTTGAATCTTAGCCTATTATTTATGGCCTAGTTGGTTGTAAATTGAAATATGAGCTATAAAATTGAAAAGTATGGAGTCCATTGTTCTAATGTGAAATTTTCCCTAGTATTTTTGGGGCCTAGGGCAAGGGCTTCACATGCTTACCCTAGAGCAGCCCTTGGACTTTCCTAATTCCAACCAAATTGACGTTACTTGCACATGTTATTTACCATTTTTGAAATAAGTCAAAATATTTCGAAATTATAGTCCCAGTTATAATGGGACTCTACTTTGCATATAAATTTTCCTAATTTTGCACTTGTTATTAACTCTACCAATCCATCTCTAATTAGGATTAGTTCATGTATTATTAAAGTACACCACCCCTCTCATAAAAATTACTTCCCTGTGCTATAACCATGGGTTACTCAAAAATGCTAGCCTTTTGCTTCTTTGTTTCCCTATTTTTCATCTCATATGCTCAAACCAACTGCTCCGATTTCCAATTCCATGACAAGTCGTATGATTCATGCTCAAATCTTCATACATTAAATTCTTTTATTCATTGGAATATCGACCAGTCTTCTCGTACCGTTGAAATCGCCTTTAGGAGGTCCGAAAACGTGCATGGAAGATGGCTTGCTTGGGCTATAAACCCTACATCAACAGGGATGGTTGGATCACAAGCTTTTGTAGCATTGCAACATTCTGATGGTACTCTTGAAGCATACACATCACCTATTAACACCTATGGAACTATGCTTGAAAAAGGTGACTTGAGTTTAAGGGTTTACGACGTTTCAGCTCAGAATATCAATGGAGAAATCATCATCTTTGCCAAGTTTGAGATTCCTACCAATGGAAGTACTGTTGTGAATCATGTATGGCAAGAAGGACCATTACAAGATAATAAACCAAGAATTCATGACTTGTCAGGAGATAACGTTAAGTCTTTTGGAACTTTGGATTTTCATTCGGGGGAAACTATGGCTACAAAAGTAAAATCAAGTTCAAGGTCTAAGCTTAAAATTGCTCATGGGATTATCAATGGTGTTAGTTGGGGTATGTTAATGCCACTAGGTGTTGTTCTTGCTAGATTGAGATATTTACCTTTGACAGATCCTATATGGTTTCACCTACATATTTATTGTCAAATTTTGGCTTATTTGCTTGGTATTACTGGTGGAAGTTTGGGATTTGTTCTTGGGAGACAATCTTCTGGAGTGAAAATTAAACACACTTCTCATAGGTATATTGGTGGTGCACTTTTAGGGCTTGCAACATTACAAGTTTTAGCTCGATGGTTGAGGCCAAAACCAGATCATAAATATAGAATATATTGGAATTTTTACCATTGGTTTACTGGTTATGCTACTATAATATTGGGAATTATCAATTGTTTCAAGGGTTTTCAGATGATGGATGTGGGAATTTGGAAGAATGCTTACATCGGTTTTCTTGCTTCGTTGGGTTTCGTTGCTGTTGTTCTTGAAGTTCTGAGATGGATCTTGAAGGCTAAAAAAGATACAGAAGAAAGTACAGTGGGAGCTTAATTTGTAACGAATTATAAATCAGAATGTTTACTTTCATAGGCATATACTTTTTGTAGCTCAAATTTAATGTATGTTCCAGCTCAAGGGCTTATACTAGATGTACTAGTTTTAAAATATTTCTTCTATTATATCTGTCCTTTCTTTTGACTAGGGCAGCCCGATACACTAAGCTCCGTAAGGATCTTAGTGTATCGGGAAAGGCCGGACCGTAAGGATCTATCGCAGGCAGTCTTACCGTGCACTCCTGCAAGAGGCAAAAAAGGCACTAAACTCCTATGCCCGGGGAAGGGCCGAACCACAAGGGTCTATAATACGCAGTCTTTACCCTGTATTTCTGCAAGAGGCAGTTTCCACGGCTCGAACTCGCGACCTCCTGATCACATGACAACAACTTTTGACTACTATTTTTAATTAAAAAATCGTGATTTATTTAGGACCAAAACTGAAAGCAGAATTTCATAAAATGCACTTGTAACTGGAAAAGATTTATGACTACAGCAAATACTAAAAAGTTGATGTAAGACTAAAAAGTATAGGGAGTTTAATGTATGAATGTCCTTGGTATGTTAGAGACAATTGGCATATGATGCTATTTTTCTTATATACCTTGTTCATTTCTTTCTGTCTCTGATAGCTTCAACAATTGATAATAACTTTTATCTCCCATTCTAAGCAAATAGTACTTGAATCCAAACTGTAATTCAAGTATCTACGAAATTCTGAAAATTCTATTGAAGCATGCACTGTTTAATGAGATTGGTTAAATATACGGGTAACAAACGATTTTTATTGTTAACTACCAGTCTACCAGTAAGTTGCCTTTGCTATGTACTAATGAATACTATGAATCACTATACACAATTTATACAAATAGAAAACAAGGAGCCGGCTTTCAATCCACAGTTCCCTGTTTTATGGAATGGATAAATTCACTCATTCACCAATTCATATGGCCATTTGTGAGAGATAAAAACCCCGTCTTGTTTTATTCTAGTTCAAACGGGCACTGAGCCATGGCAACGGTGAAATTCGACAGATATATGAAAAGCCTGTAGAAACAAATAAGATGAGAACATCAAGTACAGAATTGATCCTAAAATGAGGGAGGATTGGAAAACATGCTTAACAATATATACTGTTTGTTATACTAAAAGAAGGTTACAAGTGCAAAACAAGAAGCTAAGAAAAGTTTGGGTTGAAAAATCCAGACACAATTCCAACAGACATCTTTTATTTCTGTCATCTGAACTCACAGTTGCCAAGCAAAAACAAGCCAAAAAGTTCTTTTCCCTGAAAAAGTTATTGTAGTGCATGTTCTTTTTGAGGATAGCGAAATTCCCCCAAAGGATGCAGACAAGTTCGTTCATTGAGAGAAGTAAATTCAAGGAATCTTATGAACTTCTGAATGTTCCCCATTAAAACATAACAAGCCTCATGACATTTATTCCAGTGAAAAGTATATGCGAACGGGGTTTTCACTTTGTCTTTTTTTCCCTTCATATGCAAATTGGTTAGAACCATTCAAAATCACGCAACACCAGATAAAAATAAAGATGGAAAGAAAAGGAAGTCCTTTATTTTAGTATAGTTTTATTCTTCATTTCTGTTTTATATTTGCAAGGATGGGAGTGGATCTGGTGCTGCAACCAGAATAGTATTATCCCTTGACATGGTATACAGTTAAACATCAAACCAAATGCAGAGCGAACATTCTTCTCATCATACCTTGGGGTTTCTATGAAATCTACGTGTAATCAGCAACCTGAAGTTCACTGGACCAATCCTTTGTGCTCCTTATGGCCCTAGCTTTATTATCTCTTATTTCTAGGACCTGATAAAAAACATGCAGTGGGAGAATTCTAAGCATAAAGGGCGCATACATCTGTATAAGGAGCCATACAAGCAAGCTAGCAAACATGACTATGAAATGGTAATAAACCTAGACATGGTAGCCTCCTCGAAGTGGCATCAACAGTGAAAGCGAGTTGTTTTATTTTCTCATTTAGTACTGGAATTATAATAGTGCTTGGGCCAGAAAGGAAATTACCTCAGGGCTCGAGCCAAGTACTCCACTAGACATTCCCACATCAATCCGCCAGATGCTACAATTGTATTTGCTGCAGGGAAACCAAAATCAATCATTTATGTGGCCTAAAGAGATGCTGATCTGTAAAGATAGTTCTTTCTTTGAGCTAAAAATTGATTCCTAAAGTTAACTGTTGGTTGTAATATTTATATCTAACACAAAAAGTTCATCTTAGTATCACTTTAAGAAAATAATATCGTATAAAGATCCTACCAATTCACCCCCATAGGTTGAGGAGTATGCCCTACAACCATCGCTTTGGCACCCACAGTTTGCAGTGTCTCTTCAAGAAGAGATTGGATCTGATCATGAAAAAAGCAGTAAGTTAAAAATTAGCATCACCTGAATAATCATGTCAATAAGATCAGAAATTAAACTTGATTCATTTCAACGTTGGAAGAGATCAATTTCCAGAAGAGCTAGAAGATACAGCTTTGAAAAGAACTAATCGACAAAAAAGATCCACGGATTCAGTGAAACCCAGAATAATGCTTGCTGAATGTGCATAGAGGAAAATGCCTATAACCTGCTCGATCTGGTAGTCTTCCAGATCTGAATCTCTGGAGTACAAACGGTTCCACACGATACTATCATAGCCCCTGGTGGCTATGAAAGGCATCTGCGGAGAATCGTCAGCTTCACTCGGACCTTTCATCCATTGAGATACTTCTCTATTCAATCTCTCTAAACCATAGGCAACTGCAGCAGCAGCATTAATAATCAATATACGAGAATCTTTTTACATGTATCCTAATAAACCAGAATACTGGGTAGCAGATGAGCTTTACCATGATGAGGAAGAAGGCCACCATGGCAGAAGAGCCAATCATCAACCTTAAGAACAACACCATGACGTGCCAACTCACATGCCAATGGACCTCCGGGTCTCATGAGGATTGATCTTGCAATTACACCCTTTTGCCGCTGTCCTAATATTTGGACGACTTAATAAGCATAGAAAATGTCAAGCACCAAACCATATGGAAAAAGCAACAAATGTTTCTTATGAATTCTAAAAGGGGTAACTATCTTAAAATATCTGCTTAAAAATTATATAGATATCACTTTCAACGTGTTTTTATCAACCCCGCTGATTGCAAATGGACTGCTTGCTGATCTCAATACTAGTGTAAACAGTATGCTTTTACTTCACAGCAATAAGGTAGTACTTTCTATTTACCCACAATATAATGTTTTTTTCTTTTTATAATTCAAAACTAAAATGCTTCTGATGCCAATATATTTATTTGCCCCGCCACTCAAATGTAAGTAACTTCCAAACCTCCCATTAGCCATGAGACTAAGACCTTGATCTTAATAGAAACCTTGATCTTAATAGAACTCACCTTAACCAAATTCCATGGAGCCCAATAATTTTGAGACACCTTCCGATCCTGTTTCCATCTGCCAGACACAGCACACCAACTGACAAAAGCTTCTTCCCAGTTGTGTTCACATTCCTCCAAGTAATCCAGAAAGTCTATACACTCGTCAAGTCCCCCATTATCAACATATCTGAAGTCCCCCTCTACATTCATAGTTTCATGATTTCCATTGACCTATAATAACCATTCAGAACATGAAGAAAACAGATATGGTTGGAAGCGAATAACCATGCAAATCTCCAAAGTAGTTGTAAAATTGAACAATATAAAATGCTAGCATTACCCTGTTTAAATAATAACGATGTACGGATTAGCAGTCAACTACAATCAAGATACTTGTAGATGTAGCTGAACAAACACAGACCTGGAAAACTGCTCCACCATGAGCTTTTGCTTGGATATCTAGTGACTTCAACAATGATAAAATTGCAAGCTCATCTTCACCTCGGTCAAGTATATCTCCAAGCTGAATCAACACCTGGTAAAAAGAACCTTGTTATATTTTTATAAGCTAATAGATGCAGGGGCGTATCCAGCCTTAAGGTACCAGGTTCATCTCCTGGTACTTTTGATGCGGAGCATAATTTATGTGTAAAGTTTATTAAAATTGCAACAAATAGTAGATATGAACCCATAACTTTAAAATATAATAGGTCAATGCTAAAAACTTAGAAATTGAACCCATAGAGTCTAAATCCTGGATCCGCTTCTGATTATAGATGCCTTAGAACGAGTTCATAAATCTAAACTAAATGTAGAATGCATTTAACACCCTCCAAGCTAGAAATGTGAATGAAAATTAAAAGCTTACCGTCTCACCGCCAATCCAAAAATCTTGACCATCAGAACTCAGCACACCAGCCGTCTCAAGTGCACCTCTTGCCTTATCAAGATCTCCATGCAAATCACCGACTAAAATTCACCTCAAATAAGAGACAAATAAATACACACAAAGAAAGACTGCAGAAAGAGTCGGCAAAAAAAGAGCAGAACTGAGAATTTCATTATGCCCAATTACAATAACAAAATAATTCACTAAAGGAAGATAAGAACTAAAAATTATGCCCTAACATTCGTTATCGGAGTATTTACTTTTTGCCTCTCAATTTATGTGAGAACTTATTACACGACAACTATAAATCTCAGTTCCAATTCAATAACTGCAATTAGACTAGTCACAACTACCCAGATGTTATTCTTCAGAAAACCAAAAGCAAAATTGAAACTAACCCGCGACAATTCGACGACCCGGAGCTGAAACGAAAGTGGGCGGGTCCCCATTTACTACAATGGGTTTTAAGTTTCCATAGCTATTACTACTGCCACTGGTATACTGAGCTGGAGTTGAAACAATCGTATCAACCAATTTGCGGGACTGTGATTGTTGAGAAGCAGAAGGTGGTTGAAGAGGTAAAGAACATGTTAGTGCAAGAGTAGCCATTGATTGAATAACACAAGTCAGTAGTAATTTCTCTGAATATTTTTGCCTTGTGTGTTTGTCATTGGTCACTCAAGTCAGTATTTTGTCCAAATATTTTTTGCCTTGTGTGCTTTCTATTGTCACCCGTCTACCTTGCAATAATAACCATAAATTATTGGGCACTCGAAAAAAAAAGGAGCTGTCTTAGCCACATGTTTCGTGCCATTTTTACTAGTACTAGTATCTTTTCCTTGTTCCTAATTCACCAGAAGATTTTCTTCAAAAAAGTTTAATTTTTATAACGGATTAGTTTTGCTCGTGATTACTAAACTGTTGTTCCAATAAACTCGCAAAATTATTTCTTGTATCATTAAAGTTATTATACTTTTTTTGTTATATAAGTAAAATCATAAAATTATTTTGTATCATTAACTAGTTTTTGTTACTGAACTATGTTTGTTATATCACTCGCTGATCTTTACTCATCGTATTAGTAAACTCATAAAACTATTTTGTATTTGTCAGTAGGGGTGTTCATGGTTTGGTTTGGATTGATTTTTTCCTAAAAAGATACCAAACCAATTAACTAGGTTTTCAAATATCGGAACCAAATCAAAGCAATTAAGTCGGCTTTTTTATCGATTCGGCCGAGGTTTATCGGAAACAGACTCTCTACCCCTTGGGGTAGGGGTAAGGTGTGCGTACACTCTACCCTCCCCAGACCCCACTTGTGGGATTTTACTGGGTGTTTGTTGTTGTTGGGTTATGTCGATTTTTCGGTTATTTATCGATTTTTTCTTAAATATGAGACATACACTACAAAACACATATTCCGGCGACTATATTTTCAACGTAACACTATCAAACCAATTGTTCTTTGAGAAATCTATCATTTTTCAAGATATATTGATGATAATTAAATCAAATAGTAATAAATAATTCGGATCTTTACATAAATAGCCGATCATATTCATTTTTTACTTTTTCTAGCCATATACATAAATTATACATTGATTATGCATAATTATACATATATAATACATAAATTATACATATTATACACCTTCACTGGCTATTTTTAGTTTAAGCGGTTGGGTGAGCGGCTATTGGGTTAACTCTTCTAAATAATTTAAGGACTCGATTAAAAATAAATTATTTTTAACATGAAATAGATTCTTGTACTTAGCAAAAGAAAACTAACAATCAAACTAGAATGTAAAGGAAAAGAACTAGATACAATAGCAAAGAACTAGACTAAAGTGCAAATGATTAACATGTACCATACAATTTTAGAAACTTTTTATAAAAACATACATGTAGGTATAATAATAAATTTTAAATAGGTACTTCTATAGTCGATTTGGTTCGATTTTTTCCGGTTATTTTTTATTAAAACCAAACCAAATTTGATCAGTTTTTAAAATTCAAAACCAAAACCAAAATCAAACCAAACCAAACCAAACCAATTATCGATTTTTTTGATCTGTTTGGTTTGATTTTCGGTTGGTTCGATTTTTTAGATTTTTATGAATACCCGTATCTGTCAGCCTGAGGGATTTCATGTTTCAGCTTTTAGGTTTAGTTGAATGTTGCCGATGTCGCTTAAAGTGAATCTCTATTATGACCTAAAGAAAATCTAATATATAAGCTCAGTAAGAAGGATTTTAAAGAAAGAGAGAAATGTGATGACAATAAAATTGTTCAATACTTCTCTCTGATGCTGAACATTAATCATAGACAATAGAATTTCAGACTTTACTAATAGAGCAAAGGCAAAATCCTGATAGCTCACACTTGAAAAACCAATAAACAGACACACTAAGAACTACTTAAGTTTAAGACAAAACAATAACATGGACAATTTGCTACAATTTCAACATCTTAGCATTGTGGTAGATCTGGTGGAGGTGGCTCCATAGTCTGTTTCTCTCCTATTCCATTCTCGACGATGAACGCCATCCCTAGCCCCCAAGCCAAATGAGAATCAATGTGGCAATGAAATAGCCAAACCCCTGTAGCAAATCATCATAAATAAATCAAAAATTTATAAACAGGTACAAAAATTTCAAGCTTGAACATTTTTGTGATGATATCAGGTTCTTACCTGGATTATCTGCCACGAAACGAATGACTGCCCATCCACCAACAGGGACATCGATTGTGTTCCTGACAGGCGGATCAACTAGGTTAAATGTAGCAGTATCAGTCTGAGGATTGAAGTTACCAAAACCTTGTCCAACGACCCAAAAATGGTATCCGTGAAGATGTATAGGGTGATCCTCTGTCGAAAAGATAGCAGTATCCTGCAATACAATTTGTACAGTAGAACCAAACTTGATCTTGTGCAACTTAGTTCCAAATCTTGGTTGCCAAAGTCCTCGTGAAACATTGCCCGTGTAATCAAATTGCACAGGTGGAACAAGAGGAAAATCCAATGTATAAATCCCTGGAATGTTTTGGTAATAAGCCTGGAGCAATGAAGTTCTTCTAGGAAGAACAAATGAAATATTATTCATGCTAGCAGCAAATCGCGTATTATTAGGACCTTGACATCTAGGACCAGGAGCGCAATTCACTAAGCCAAGTCCAACAGTGAAAAACAAGTTTTCATCAATCTGATTGGGAACTCTAACATTGTTACTAAGAATGCTCCTCAATTGGCTAGTGAAAGCAGTCGCAGTAGCTGTATCGTTGAAAGCTGGAAGTTGAGGCAACGAAGGTCTTGAATTGGCCCCCGACACGAGATTTGTGTACTCAAGGATGGCAGTGGTAGTGGTGTTGTCAAATTGCGTGTTTCTGGCAGTGGCATAGGCGCTAGCTGCCAGATAGTAGCGGCCAGGGGGACGATTAGCAGTGAGAATTACATTGGTTGTTTGGCCAGGTCCAACCATAATTACATTGGTTTTAAAAGGCTTGTTATAAGTAGCATCAACACCTACAACAGTAAGCATGTGGTTTGCAACTGAGAAAAAAAGTTGTTGATTGAGTGCAGCATTGATTACCCTCACTAGAACAGTTTCTCCGGGGTTTACTGAAACTTTCACAGTACCTGCATTAAAATTCTGAATTAGTAATGGTGATATGTGTTGTCCTCTTTTTTTTTTTTCCCCCTTTTTCCATTATTTTTGTGTTTAAGTTGTATATACTGAGTACTAACAGTATAAAAAAGGTTATCAGGTTAACTTGACCTACAACAACATATATCTCTCTATATCAAGCCTAATATAATATCCCGGAAAATAGAGTAATAATATTCTATAACCTGTTAAATTACAAAGATAGTGTAAAATATCTTTTAACTATCAGTGTATATAATTTTTTTAAAGAGGAGGCTAAGCAGTGGCATATCCACATATAATGAAGAGTGGTCAGTCGAACACCCTTCAATGAAAAATTATAGTATTACATATATAAATCAAAATTACTTTTTATACATGTATATTAAATCGTGAACACCCCTTAGCGAAATTTCTAGCTTCGTCACTGGCTAAGTTTTAGTAAGAACCTTGGCTAGAGCATCTGTAAAGGTCACCAGGTTGACCATTAATAGTATATGCATCAGAATTATTAGGAGCTGCTCCAGTGAATTGTGCTTGTCTTTGCACTGCAATAATGTCTCTGTTCCACCATTCCCCTATGATAAAATCAAGAACTTAATTAGTCACGTACTCACATTTGATTTTGATCAAAATTAAAATGAAAAGGGAAAAAAGTTATGTTGCGCAGACCCTTTAAAAATGTTGCCGCACCCGTATCGGATCCTCCAAAAATGCACTATTTTTGGAGGATCTGACGCGCACCCGGCACCATTTTTACAGAGTCCAAGCAACATAGGAAAAAAGCAGTACCGAGAAGAATAGGGATATCTTTCTGGGGCTGTAAAAAAGGAAAATTAGAACCCTGTTTTGGTAAGATAACTAAAGCTCCATAAACAGTAGCTCTAAGCCATTTGCTGTGTGCATGCCACCACAATGTACCCTCTTGGTTTTCAATAGTGAATCTGTATGTGTAAAATCCTCCTGGTCTAATTGGACATTGTGTTACATACTCAGGCCCATCAGCCCATGGCGTTCGCATTTGACGAATTCCATGCCTGCATGGAAATTTCGAACAGTTTAAGTTCTATGTACTGACAATGTAAAAAATTATCTGCATAGTGAAGTCATTTATCAGGTAATTACCAGTGGATCGTAACGTTGTAACGAGCTCTATTAACAACTGTAACAAATAGTGTATCTCCGTTTCGAACTGTTAAAGTTGGTCCTGGAAATTGTCCATTCACTGTAATTATATTCTTGGTTCTGCATAGCCTTGTTATTCTGGTTTCTTGAACCTGTCAAAAAAAAAATTATTATTTCATGAGAATGTTAGGAATGTCTATCGGAAACAGCCTCTCTGCCCTATCGGGGTAGGGGTAAGGTCTGCGTACACACTACCCTCCCCGGACCCCACTTGTGGGATTTTCTGTGCCGTTGTCGTCGTCGTTGTTGTTGTTGACAATGTTGGAAATGTTTATAGAAAATAAGAAGAAAATGTGAATGGATACTTACAATAAATTCATGGTAGTGAAATTCTGCATTTGCAAAAGAAGACAGTAGAGATAGTATAACTATAATGGTTGCCAAGAGGCCATTGAACGTCTCCATTTCTCTTCTTTTTCTGACTGTTTTAGTAAAAGCTTAAAAGTTGTAATATTCTGTTTAGAGGACTTAATGAAGTTGTGATGCTGTGGTTAGTGGACTTAATGAAGTTGTCTATTTATAATGCTACAGGGAGGGAATCAAAAGCTTGGTTTACTCTTCAAAATTAAATAAAATATTAAGGGATTTTGGAAAGTTTTGGGCAACTTAGTCCAACTATATATATATATATATGGAGGATTTGGTGCACCCACTTGCACTTCAGTTCTTAATCTAAATAAATATCTTTTGCTTTGCTGTTTCTTCTTATATGTTAGTAGTAAATTTAGTTTTTAACGGTTTCTATTTTTTTTTTCTTCAAAATTTCCTGAGTTTCCTCATGATGATCGGTGTGTGGTATGTAAGAAGTCATTTTCTAGGAAAATATGTTTTCCATGAAGAAGTTCATTTGGGATGTAAGAAAAATGTTTTCCAAGGAGAAAAATAATTTTCCTTAATTATGGACGGAGGTCATTTTAGTTTTCAATTATATTAATTTTTGATTCATCACTTGCTCCAGCCAACACATAGACACTATTATTAATATTTAATAGTCAAAAAATTCATTAAACATTATATATATTTCAAAAAATATTTCAATCACCGACCATAAACCATACAACACTTAAATTCTGAGAGTTTTTTTTTTTTTTTTTAAATGACTTCCGTAACACCAAACAGTTTTCCATTGCTAGGTGAAATCGTACTGTTATTTAATGTGTGAAGTAATGGTATTTGACCGGGTGATTTTACATTAATCTAATAATGGTCAATAAAGTGGCAAGTACTCTGATTAGTTGAGGAGGAAAATTTATTCGAAACAACATTAATCTTCCTATGTATACTGAATTAATTTATTCCGTTAGCCTGATATAGGACAATTGATACATCTAATTTTAAGTACGAGGAATGTTAGTTGACCAAACAATGAAGAAGGTGAACCAATTTCAGGCAAGCTTATGGACCCCAATTACTATAACACAAATGGGCATTATTTTCCTCTATAGTTTGTGACTTTGTATCAGCATTCAAATTCGTAGAAGTATATATGTTCTCGAGTAGTGAAAATAGTATCTTGCAAAAATGCAGGTAAGGCAGTGTATAATAAACACTTAGCCCTTCCTTGGACCCCACATATAACGGGAGTTTAGTGCACCGGACTGCCCTTTAGACGAGGGGCTGAGGTTGAATGTTAGCTTGGTTTTGGTAGATTGAGAGATGTACTACATGGTGTCATCTATGGGCAGTGACATTGACA